TCTTCACTGGCACACATCAAGAGTATCACACTGCAGCTCCAATTTGTGGATGTTGAAACCATGGACACCTTTGCTTGGGACGTCTTGAGAGCTATTGTTGATTCCCTGCATGTTGTGGAAATCTTCGTGCAGGCAGGGGATTCACGAATAATGTACGATAAATTCTCGAAATATTACATCGTGTTCTTTTATAGCTATAGTATTTCCTAATCTAATCATAACCAATGAAATGTCCTTATAAAGGCGAGACTAGGTACAAATGAGTTGGGGTGTCAAACGGGTGCCAGCGTAGAGTGCTCTGGGCGTGTCACATCTAAATAAAGAAACCATGATGCGGAGCGCGTCATGTCAGAGAGTTGAGACTACGAAGCGCATCAGTGCATTGTCATATCATCGGGTATGTGCCTCAGATACAACAACATTGCACATGCACCACCTTTGTGTCAACCACTTACATTCGGAAGACAAAGATAACGGCTTCAAGGTCATGAAGAGGATCCTGTGCTCTGTCTTGCACTGCATGCAGCTGACCTGGGCTCTCAAATCAGGCAAACTGCAATTCAACCTCTGGCCCTATTTTGACAAACCTATCGCAACTATAGACATCTTGTCTGTACCAACGGAGCACACCATCATCAGGGAAACAAAACATCGCTGCGCACTAGTACAGAGTGTACGTACTGTTGGCACTTCCATAGCCTAGTCCCTGGTTCATAGCACTCGTACTTTCTTAATCACGCATCATACTGCTGTGTACTTCTGTGTATTTCTTGTGTAATACCAGTGTACAAACCAGGTCAAACCTTGATTGCAGTCAATACACAGCTCATTTTGACCCCATCCTGCAGGTTATACAATGAAGAATCATAAATTTAAGCTAATATAAGTACAATACATATATATATATACAGGTGGGGGGCATTGGTACTGGGGGCAGGACAGCCCACTATGAGCATGGTCTTACTGATGTGACTACATTTGGTGCAGGGTTCAAGCCCAACCTTTGCTGACTGCAAAGCTGGTGTGTTAGTGTAAGTGTGCATCATTCGGACACAGCACATGACTCACCCAGGACTGCCGCACATCACGCCGCATGATGTCCTGCCATTGAACACATGCAATGAAGGGCCCATGGCGGGCACCGACAAGCATGGTTGATGATGTCCATGGGCTTGGATCAGTCTATGACAGGGTATTAGTATTGATAGCTTGATATTCTAGGACCTGAACACGTACTTAGCTGCTTCACTCTCGAGCACGGTCTCACTGAGCTGGAATGGATGCCGTGTGATAGCCGTTAGCCTGGAAGTCTACCAGGAGACTTGTCCAATGCACTGTGATGGCTGGCCTGCCATGCCCAATTGCTAAATGGCAGTCACATCCGCAGATGAACAGGGGCCAGCTGGGGAGGTGGAGGGAGGAAGCAAGGTGAAAGAAAGAATGGCGTCGTGGTAAGAGGGTAAAAATACCCAGGAATAGATCTTCCAAAACGTGATGAGAGCATGACACCATCTGGGTTTAGGGCAGGGTTTAAACACCTTGGATTCTCGGGAGTTTGACCTGCCCAAACATGGTGCAGAAGATGTTGAACGAGAGCAAAGTTTTTGTGTTCGATGGACCCACCTTTGTAGTATTTCAGTCCTGCACAAGTCCAGCAGAGGCAGCAGGTGGGCCATGCCATGCAGCAGCTGCACGGGATAGCCAGCGTGAACACGGCAGCTGAAATACCTTGTCCACCACATCCTACATGACTGGACCGATGACGTGCCAGTAGAGGTCCTCGGCAACGTGCGCGCCACAACACCCATGTCGGATGAACACGAACACACATGACCGCACGCCAAAATCACTGCTGATGCAGGAGCACAGAAATTATGGCTTCATGTACATAGCTAACCCTGCATATTTTGAATCATGGAAAGATGTTCACAGAGGCAGAGACGCTTGGCCTTCTAGAACACGCAGAGTCCAGAGAAATCAAGGTGTATTCTTGGGCCCCAGTGCATGTCTATCTTCGACCTACTATATGGCTATGCTGTTTGGATCTTAACATCTGAACTGTGCTAAGTATGTATGATACGAACACCAGGAACAAAAGTACAGAGTAGTACACAGTTCTACGGAGTTTCTGTACAAGTTCCGTGTCTCCGCACTTTTGGGTATTTCCTGATGATCAACGGCATCAGGATCACTCTCGACATCGCCAAACAAGCCAAGTGGCTGCTGTGCCCAGTCCACCCTTACTTCTATCACTGCTCAGAGCTCACCACAAAAGAGAAATATCTACAGCAGCTTGTATTTGCCCACCCGGGCGAGCATCTATGGACACAGACTCAGGGACTCCCGTGCTCTTCACCCACTGCTGAAATACTCTGCATGTGGTAGCCAAGCAAAACCAGGAAGTGGTAGGAGTCGACGGGCTTGAAGGCGGACAGGGCGAGGGAATGGCCAACAAAGAAGCAGAAGGTATAGGGGAGGACGCATGGAGCAAGCATGAAGGTCAGGTGTGGGTAGGGGGTACGACTGGGCGGTTGCTCGAGCTTTGAGGCGGAGACAAGCTGTGGACAGTAGTAACCACGGGAACAAGAGTTTCAGTTCGGCGGCCTAGACACGGAAACTTATTAAGTTACACCGGACTAGCCACTCAGAAGCGCCCATGAGTGGCTAAGACACTGAAAGCCCAAAAATAGGCACAGGCAGGAATCAA